TTGCCACGCCTGCCGTGCCCTGCGCCATGGCCTGCATAGAGCCTCCTGCCATCCACTGCGAATCCTACACGCACGTCTTGTATATGGCATGGTATGTGTATGTGTATGATGCGTGTGCGGCTATATCGGGACGTGTCTCATGTGGGTGCCCACTATGTCGCGCACACGCCTCAATGGACGCTGCAGTGGTCACGCCAGGCGCGCACTAGCGTTGTATGGTGTGTGTGTGTGTTGTGTGTGCGAGTGTGTGCATGCGCGCGGCCGTATGTAGACGCGTGTCTCATGTACTTGCCGTGCACGTGTTGAGCGCGGGTGAGGAGAGGAAGGAGGAGAGAGGAGATGAGGTGTGAGGTGAGGTGAGACGCGGGTGCGCCGCGGCAGGGAAGAAAACCAGAACCCCACGAAACATGTGGGAACCCCACATACTTAGTTTAAATATTATGTGCTTGCTTAAGTTTATCATATATGCGCAATTCTGCGTTCTCAGCCCTCGTCGCGAATGTTCCCCTCTGTGTCATCCAACGCCATATTGCTTGAACCTCCTCCCTCTTCCTAGCCTTCTATCCTCCATCGAGGACAGATTCGAGCCAGCCAGCGGCCGCGGTGAGGGACCACCCCCTGCGCACCCTCTATGGTGTCGAGAAAGTGCCACGCCTGCTATGCCCTGGACGACCGTCGTGCATGGCGGCCGCGGTGAGGGACCACCCCCTGCGCAGCCTTTATGGTGTCGAGAAAATGCCGCGCCTGCTATGCCCTGGACGACCGTCGTGCATAGCGGCCGCGGTGAGGGACCACCCCGGTGAGAGACCACCCCCTGCGCACCCCCTCTGGAGTCGACAAAGTGCCACGCCTGCTAAGCCCTGCGACATTGGCGCGTATAGAGACCGCGGTGAGAGACCACCCCCGTGCGCACCCCCTCTGGTGTCGAGAAAGTGCCACGCCTGCTACGCCCTGCGACATTGGCGCGTATAGGGGCCGCGGTGAGAGACCACCCCCTTGCGCACCCCCTGCGGTGTCGAGAAAGTGCCACGCCTGCTAGGCCCTGCGACATTGGCGCGTATAGGGACCGCGGTGAGAGACCACCCCTCTGCGCACCCCCTGTGGTGTCGAGAAAGTGCCACGCCTGCTAGGCCCTGCGACATTGGCGCGTATAGGGACCGCGGTGAGAGACCACCCCCTGCGCACCCCAGGCCCTGCGACATTGGCGCGTATGGAGACCGCGGTGATGGCCCACCCCCTGCGCACCCCCTCTGGTGTCGAGAAGTGCCCACTGCCTTGCTTTTTTAGACCCTGCGACATGCGCCGATAGAGCCGCGGTGAAAGACCACCCCCCTGCGCACCCCTCTGTGTCGGAAAGTGCCACGCCTGCTCGGCCCTGGCGACATTGGTAGTGGATATGGACCGCTGTGAGAGACCACCCCCTGCGCACCCCCTCCGGTGTCGAGAAAGTGCCACGCCTGCCATGCCCTGCGACATTTGGCGCGTATAGGAAAAAAAAAAAAAAAAGACCACATGAAGAGACCACCCCCTGCGCCCCCTCCAGTGGCGAGAAAAGTGCCCTACGCCTGCTAGGCCTGGCGACATTGACGCGTAATAGGGACGGACATGGGAACCTACCCCCGGCGCACCCCCTGTGGTGTCGAGAAAGTGCCACGCCTGCTAGTCCCTGCGACATTGGCGCGTATAGGGGCCGCGGTGAGAGACCACCCCCTGCGCACCCCCTCCGGTGTCGAGAAAGTGCCACGCCTGCTAGGCCCTGCGACATTGGCGCGTATAGGGACCGCGGTGAAAAAACACCCCCTGCGCACCACCTCCGGTGTCGAGAAAGTGCCACGCCTGCTAGGCCTTGCAACATTGGCGCGTATAGAGATCGCGGTGAAAGACCACATCCCCTGCGCACCCCCTCTGGTGTCGAGAAAGTGCCACGCCTGCTAGGCCCTGCGACATTGGCGCGTATAGGGACCGCGGTGAGAGACCACCCCCTGCGCACCCCCTCTGGTGTCGAGAAAGTGCCACGCCTGCTAAGGCCCTGCGACATTGGCGCGTATAGGACCGCGGTGAGAGACCACCCCCTGCGCACCCCCTCCGGTGTCGAGAAAGTGCCACGCCTGCTAGGCCCTGCGACATTGGCGCGTATAGAGACCGCGGTGAGAGACCACCCCCTGCGCACCCCCTCTGGTGTCGAGAAAGTGCCACGCCTGCTAGGCCCTGCGACATTGGCGCGTATAGGGACCGCGGTGAGAGACCACCCCCTGCGCACCCCCTCCGGTGTCGAGAAAGTGCCACGCCTGCTAGGCCCTGCGACATTGGCGCGTATAGAGACCGCGGTGAGAGACCACCCCCTGCGCACCCCCTCCGAGTGTCGAGAAAGTGCCACGCCTGCTAGGCCCTGCGACATTGGCGCGTATAGAGACCGCGGTGAGAGACCACCTCCGTGCGCACCCCCTTGGTGTCGAGAAAATGCCACGCCTGCTACCCTGCACATTGGGCGTATAGGGAACCGCGTGAGAGACCACCCCCTGCGCACAGCCCCTCAGGTGTCTAAAAGTGCCACGCCTGCTATGGCCCTGCGACATAGGTACCGAAGGGTGAGAGACCACCCCTGCGCACCCCCTCTGGTGTCGAGAAAGTGCCACGCCTGCTAGGCCCTGCGACATTGGCGCGTATAGGGACCGCGGTGAGAGACCACCCCCTGCGCACCCCCTCCGGTGTCGAGAAAGTGCCACGCCTGCTAGGCCCTGCGACATTGGCGCGTATAGAGACCGCGGTGAGAGACCACCCCCTGCGCACCCCCTCTGGTGTCGAGAAAGTGCCACGCCTGCTAGGCCCTGCGACATTGGCGCGTATAGGGACCGCGGTGAGAGACCACCCCCTGCGCACCCCCTCTGGTGTCGAGAAAGTGCCACGCCTGCTAGGCCCTGCGACATTGGCGCGTATAGAGACCGCGGTGAGAGACCACCCCCTGCACACCCCCTCTGGTGTCGAGAAAGTGCCACGCCTGCCGTGCCCTGCGACATTGGCGCGTATAGTGTATGATGCGTGTGCGGCTATATCGGGACGTGTCTCATGTGGGTGCCCACTATGTCGCGCACGCGCCTCAATGGACGCTGCAGTGATCACGCCAGGCGCGCACTAGCGTTGTATGGTGTGTGTGTGTTGTGTGCGAGTGTGTGCATGCGCGCGGCCGTATGTAGACGCGTGTCTCATGTACTTGCCGTGCACGCGTTGAGCGCGGGTGAGGAGAGGAAGGAGGAGAGAGTAGATGAGTGTGAGGTGAGGTGAGACGCGGGTGCGCCGCGGCAGGGAAGAAAACCAGAACCCCACGAAACATGTGGGGAACAAAATAAAAATGCATAATCCTCCCAAGACTATTTGTTGCCTATGTTTGAATATTCCTCCTGTAGAGGGATATGCCCGACTTAACCCTACCGGCACATGGCCACCCTCCCCAGCGGGAGGGACCAGGTGCGCGGAGCATCCTTGCTGCACCCTCTCGCCAGCCCCTCCTCAGTCGGGAGCCGAAGGCCTCTGGCCCAGCCCCCCAAAAAAGGAGGATGGCCAGGCGAAGCAGGAGGCGCGCTTCGTCGTAATCGTCGTCGTCGTCTTCGCCGTCGCCGTCGCCGTCGCCGTCGCCGTCGCCGTCGTCGTCGTCGTCGTCGTCGTCGTCGGCGTCGGCGTCGGCGTCGTCGTCGTCGTCGACGTCGTAATCGTCGTCGCCGTCGTCGTAATCGTCGTCGTAATCGTCGTCGTCGTAATCGTCGTCGTCGTCGTCGTCGTCGCCGTCGTCCCCATAGGGTCGAAAACTGGCAAGACCTCGTGCCATGACCCGTCCACGGCGCGAGCAGCTCGGGGTTGTCCCGGGCATCCAACGACCTGAATCTGCTCCAGGCGCGGCCCGAAGGTCTCGGCTCTTCCCCTGGGGTTAGATCGGGCCTGTCTCCCTACAGGGGGATTTGGTGCGAAAATCTAAAATACTCAAAAAGTACCCCCCATATTCTCAAAAACAGTCAAAAACCGTCCCCTGACTAATTGTTCTAATTATTTTTGAATTTCCCTCCTGTAAAAGGACATGCCCGACTTAACCCTGGGGGTGTCTTTGCGCCTTGGATCAACCCTGAGACCTGCGGTCGCGGTCGCGTTCGCGGGCGGCGGGAGGGGGGAATCATCGCGAGTTTCTCGCGGTGGTTCGCTCTTTCCAGCCGCCGCGTCTGCGCGCGGCTGCGTTCGCCCTGGCCGCGGCTGTGGCCGCACCTGGGAGGGGGATACTATCGCGATTTTGTTCGTGATGGTTTTTTTCCAGCTGCGGGCGCGGCTGCGGGTCTGGCGTCCCAACTTCTGTTCGAGCCGGGCGGTTTCGCCCTCTGTCGGGTCCCGGGACCCTCGCAGGCCGATGCAACTCGACGTACACCGCAGAAAGATGGTGCCTCTGGGGCTCCTGGCGCCAGTTTTTACGATGTTGCAAGTGTTCCGCGACGTCGGACCTCGGGGAATGGTTCGTCGCCCTGGGGACCGAGAGCGGCCCCCAGAGGCCGACAGGACGAAGAAACGCCGCGATCGGAAGCATATATATATATATGTAGATATATATATATACATATACATATATATATATATGCATGTATAAATACATGTATATACATATATATATATACATATATATACACATACATACATACATACATACACACACACATACATACATACATGCATACATACATACATACATACATACATACATACATACATACACACACATACATACATACATACATGCATGCATGCATGCATGCATGCATACATACATACATACATACATGCATACATACATGCATATATACACATATATATATATAAACAAGCAACAACAACAAAACAACAACAACCACAACAACAACAACAACAACACCAGCAGCAACAACAACAACAACAACAACAGCAGCAACAACAACAACAAACATGCCGCCAGAGGTGCGGTTTTGAGCCTGCCCCCACGGAGGAGCCAGCGAGCGGGGCTCCGGGGATCTTCCCGCCCTCCGCCAGCGCGTCGCCAGGGAGCGCCATCAGGCCCGCGATGGCGCCCGCGAGGGCGGGGTCGACCTCGGGCGCCGCGGGGCGGCAGCGGGGAGCGGAGGGGGGAGGAGTCGCGGGGCGGAGAGTCGCAAAATGTTTTGAAGGGGAACTGGGACACACAAACAAATAGGCACAAATAGCAGGATTCCCAACATGTTCCCATGTGCTCTGGGTTTTTGTCCTCCCCCCCAACTTCCCATAGATTCGTATATTTTCTGGGGAATCGACGATTCATTGTGTCTGTGTGTTTTTTCCCTCCTGAGAGTTGTGGGGCGGAAGGTTGCAAAAATGTTTGGCGACCCCACTGTCTCTGTAGAGAAAGACGCACCAGCGATGCCGCGAGAAACCCTCCCTCCGATGTCCCTCTTCACAGGTCCCTGCGAGAAGCCCACCAGCCCTCCGGCGTAGGTGTTCTTAGCCACCCTCCCCCTCCACTCCCTGAGGTTTTTCTTCGGGCTGGGGGGGGTGGAGCGTCTAAGCTGGCCCCAGATGGCTCCAAGAGGGCGTTCGATGCTCCAAGATGACCTCCAAGGCGGCTCAAGATAGAAGAAGATGGTTCAAGATAGCTTCCGACAGACCTCCTCGAGGCACGACGAGGGCCAGAAGACGGTTCCAAGTGCTCTCGGAACCCCCTCAGGACTCCAAAGAAGCCAAAACCCTTAAATATCGGAAGAGAACCTATGAGTATTGCCTTCTCGCCTTTTCGTTGCCGATGCGCTTTTGAGGTTCAAGATTACCCCAAGATGGCCCAAGAGAGCACCACGAGGAGCCCAAGAGGCCCCAAAACGGCCCCAAAAGCGCACAAGACCAGCCCCAAGAGCGCCCCAAGAGCGCCCCAAGAGGCGATTTTGACAGCCCCAGGGAGGCAAGGCAAACCGGAGACCCCCATCCTTTGACCAATAGCCTCCAAGATGGCTTCCAAAGCCCCTCCAGGGGTCTCAGGAAAACCCCAAGACGGCCCCAAGAGCACCCCGAGAGCGCCCGACGAGGGCCCCAAGAGGTGGTTTGCATCCTCCTCCTCCTCCTCCTCCTCCTCCTCCTCCTCCTCCTCCTCCTCCTCCTCCTCCTCCTCCTCTCCTCGTGTTCCTCCTCCTCCTCCTCCTCCTCCTCCTCCTCCTCCTCCTCCTCCTCCTCCTCCTCCTCGCCCCCACGCGGGCCCCAGGGATGGCCCGAAGAGGCCCTCTATCGCCGCACCCTTTGACTCCAGAGGTCTCTTCATTAATCCTGATTGCCCGCTTCGTTTCACTATGTGTATCTCTTCGTCCCTTGTCCCGCCGGCTCTCATGAGCAGGGGTTCTGAACGGGCTGGTGGGGATTTGTTGGGTTCGCGGCTCGAAGGACAGATCCAGGGAGCGGGATTCACGCCTGGGGCACAGAGCGAGATAATTGGCTGCAGAGGCACGTAGGCCGCTGAGGCGAGTGCACATGCAACGGAGAAAGTGACCCTCATTGTGGGGGACCGGCGCAATCATCCCAGCGGATGGGGACGCAAGCGCGGCACCGGCAGCGGACGGAAGGAGAAGTCGCCCTTACGGCGCCAAGCTCCAACCGACCCACACACCAAGAAGAGGCACGGAGCACGGACCGCACTGTGCAGTCCGGCCGAACCACACGGAAGCGAGGCAAGAGGAAGCGGGGGAGTCGCTGCGGACGCCAGACGGGCACCCCACGACAGGAAAAAGGGAACGGCGGCACAGAGGAGGCCTCATGTGACTCACTGTCGCAGACGTCGGGTATGCCCGCTCTGGGAGGCGGGAGCAAAGGATACCCAGTCAGCGAACATGCGGTAACGTCACTTCCAGCCTGTGGCTAGTGCGTACGCAACTTATCCGACACTCGAAGATCGGGGGCACAAAGTTGCAAGCGCTGACCGAGGCACCTGCAAGATGGGCAGGTAGCCGAGGCTACTCTGAGGAGAGCGACCACGAACTGCTGAAGGCTGAACCACTCAATGCAGGGCCGTTCACTTCAAAGGTGTGGCTAGACCACGTCAGAGCGCCTTCCATTAGAGAAAGACCACTGTTGTGCGCTCACGAGGCTGAGCCGCCTCCAGCCGGTAGCCAGTGCATGCGCATCGTATCCGACTCGCAGTTCGGGGGCACAAAGATGCAAAGTACTGACGAGGGCTGGTAGCCAAGCTGTTCAGATGAGAGCGACAACGAACTGCAGAAGGCTGAACCACTCAACGCAGGGTCGCTCAATTGACGAAGCCAAATACCGAGACACCGAGTGCATGGCTGACAGCTGCACCCAACCACACCTGCCACGCTGCCCGCGCAGTACTCTGGCGACGAGCACTGGCCGCACGAGTCACCGCAGCCGTCGTCTCCACACACGAGCCCCTGCGACACGCAGACTGAGCGTGTCGGAGTCGGATTGGGCGTCGCCGTCGACGGCGCTGGCGTCGCAGTCGAAGCCGGATCAGGCGTCGCAGTCGGCTCCGTCGTTGGTGCTGGCGTCGCAGTCGGAGTCGGAATAGGCGTCGCCGTCGGCTCCGTCATCGGCGCTGGCGTCGCAGTCGGAGCTGGATCAGGCAGTCGGCTCTGTCGTCGGCGCTGGCGTCGCAGTCGGAGTCGGATCAGGCGTCGCAGACGGCTCTGTCGTCGGCGCTGGCGTCGCAGTCGCAGTCGGACAAGGCGTCGCCGTCGGCTCCGTCGTCGGCGCTGGCGTCGCACTCGGAGCCGGATCAGGCAATCGGCTCTGTCGTCGGCGCTGGCGTCGCAGTCGGAGGAGTCGGATCAGGCGTCGCAGACGGCACCGTCGTCGGCGCTGGCGTCGCAGTCGCAGTCGGATAAGGCGTCGCCGTCGGCTCCGTCGTCGGCGCTGGCGTCGCACTCGGAGCCGGATCAGGCAGTCGGCTCTGTCGTCGGCGCTGGCGTCGCACTCGGAGCCGGATCAGCGTCGTCAGCGGCCCCGTCGTCGGCGCTGGCGTCGCAGTCGGAGTCGGGTCAGGCGTCGCAGTCGGCTCCGTCGCTGGTGCTGGCGGCACACGCTTCCAGTCGGCGCAGAGGAACATCTTGCGGCCACGCAGCGCAGCGCCGCAGTAGAAGCCGAAGATCACTCCACGCCCCTCGTCGCAAATACCCTCTCCATGCTCGTGGCTGCGCCGAGGAGAGCGAACGAGCATGGAACGCGGAAGGCAGCACCACTCGGCGCAATCTACGCCGCCGCCACAGCCCAGGGCGCGGGGGGCGCGCCCGGTTGCCAGACTCGCGGAGGCGGTGCAATCTTGGCGAACAGGATGGGGGGCGCAGCCAAGAGCCGCAGAGACTTGTGAATAAATCTTCCTCGGCACCACACTCTGCATGGGGGCGCAGCCAAAAGCCGAAGTCACTGGTGAATCTTGATTACGGATGGGGGCGCAGCCAAGGGCCGCTGAACTCGGATCCTGCACAAGGGGAAGAGGAGGAAGAAGGGAGGCGCAGCCAAAAGCCGCAGTAACAGGTAAATTGGAGGAGGAGGGGGGTAGGGCGGCCCACTGGAGCAGTGCTGCCTGCTCTGGGTCCTCTCTCTGTTCTCCCCGCAGCAGTCCCTGAGGTGGCGCCTCAGTCGCCGCGGGGGGGGGCCTGCTCGCCCGTCCTCCAGGTGGGAGGCCAGCGCTGCCGACTTCTATGGACTCAGATCGTCTTTCTCCGGGCGCCTCGTTCACTGCCGTCTCCCAGTTGCCTGACACGCAGTGATTGGTGCAATATTTGCGAACAGGATGGGGGGCGCAGCCAGGAGCCGCAGAGTCATTGCGAATGAGCCCGGTGGGGGGCGCAGCCAAGAGCCGCAGAGACATTGTGAATGGCGAAGAAGAGGGGGCGCAGCCAGCGGCCGCTGAACTCGGTAGGCGACCCCGCAGGCCGACGGAAACGGGATGCAAGAGCACCAGAGCCACAGAGGGCGGACCCGGGACCAGCAACGACCCCTCAGGGAGCCCGGCGCCTCGATGCAAGCAACAGGAGAACCCGCGGGCCACGCCAACCTTCACCCTGCAGTCGCAGAGTCCACACTGTGTTCGTCGTCGTCGCGTTGGAACTGCATGGTCGTTTCATGGAGCTGCACGGCGCGTCCGACAACAGCACGTCAGAACCGAGACGGAGAAGGAATGAGATCCCCAAACGCGCTGATGAGCACGGTGTACGACGCGTAGTCAACAGAGAAGGTGGGTCTCAGGGTGGAGGTGGAATTCCAGACTGCCCACGGCATAGCCACACCCGCAGCACGCAGACAGAGGGCAAAAATACTGAGGTCGACGGTATAGCCACACACGCAGCACGTAGACAACAGCCAAGATGAAGAGGTCGAAGTTCTGAACAAAACAGGTTACTGTGGGGAGACGGCCCACCACTGTTTTTTTGCGCTCCTTGGGGGCCTGGTGGTTCGGGTGGCCCTCTGCCGCGTGGCGATCACTGTTCACTCCGCCGCTCCGTCCCCGGCGCAGCTGCCACGGCCGAGCCCAGTCGACGTCGAGGCCCAGCGCGTCGCTGAGGACCCGTACGTCGCACTTGTGGCTGCGGAAGGACTCCAGGAAGAGGTGGCAGGTTTGCGGGTCGCGCCGAAGCGGGTCGAGCGCGCCCTTACTGCCGGGCACAAACTGCCGCTTGGCGAAAGCGTGCCAGGTGCCCGTGAACATCGGCCCCAGTGTGACTTGGAGTCGACGCATCGCCTCGCCGGGTGTCTCCCCGGGGAGGTCCCACTGGATGTCGTTGATTCCTGTTTTGTACAACTGTTGTCCCGCGTCAGGGTCATTAGGCTCTGGCCATTACCGCGGGTCGGGCCTCTGGTGCCGCCGAGTATCCTGGCCGCAAGTCTCCACCGCACGAGCCTCGTTGTCCTGGCTGGGGGGCTCGCGATCTGCTCGCGACAGCTCCAGCTGCACGCCTGGCAGGGTTTTGCGGGGAAGTGAAGGCCGCACGGTTGGCCGCCATGCTGGGGCCGGGTCGCGTCGGGCGGCCAAGGCAAACGCAGCCTCGTGGCACGTGGGGAGGGGCCCTTTTCGCTGGCGTTCGCCTTCGGGCCTGTGCCCGCCGTCGCTCCCAGGT